GGCCTCCTGGCTCCGAGTGGCTGCCGGGGGGGAAGGGGGGCAGTGAGCAGGCACTGGTGGCCAGCTGCCAGCACTGGTGGCCCAGCTCTCCTCCCTCCCTGCCAGCCTGCCCCCCGGCTGCCAGAGCACCAGCCCACAAAGCCAGGATGGGTTTGGGCTGAGCAAAGCCAGCTGGACTGTGAAGGGACTGACAGCTCAGCTTGGCTTGGATCCAGGGAGGGATTTAGGAGTCGAGTTTCCTCCCATGTGCTTGGGGGACCTGACAGCCTGGGAGGGTCCCACAGCCCTGGGCAGGTTCCTCCCTTGGTAGCAGCTTGGGAAATCCCAGCAGGGATGCAGAGACAGCAGGAGGATTTACAGTGAGCGGGTGGGGAGGTTCAAGTCCTCCGCAGAGGCTTCATGTGTCTGCAGGACGCTTGGCTGCCCTCACCGCTGGAGAGGACGGGGCCTGGAGCCCTCTCATCTGTGGTGATACCTGCTTCCTCTTTCAGGCAGAGATTGTCAAGAGGCTGAGTGCCATCTGCACCCAGATGATACCCTTTCTGACTCAGGAGGTAATTGGGGAACAAGGGGATGTGCACCCCTTGGCTGCTCTGGTTTCTCTTGAGGCCCTTGAGAAGAGGGGAATCTGAGTCCAGCCTGAACAGTGGGAGGTTTGGGACAGGGAGACCTCTGTGTCTGGGCTGGAGGGATGGGAGAGCAGGCTGAGGTGATGCTGGGCCATGAAGTCCCTCCAGCCAGGAGCACAGGGTCACCTTCCCATGTTCTTCCTTCCCAGCACCAGCAGCAGGTCCTGCAGGCTGTGGAGCGGGCCAAACAGGTGACCATGGGGGAGCTGAACAGCATCATTGGGGTGAGTCTCCTGCCTGGCTGTGGTGAAGGCTCTTTTTGCACTCCAGGGCTCAAAAACCATGCAGTGCAGTGATGGGGGAAGCCAGGAAGGCCAGGGTGGGTCCCCTGTGATGAGAGGGTTTGCCACTGTGTCCTCAAGGTGGTGGATGGCCTCTGCAGCCCTCCCTGGGCCCACCACCCTGAGCTGAGCAGGGCAGAGCCATGGCTTAGGCTCCTCTGCTGTGCGCTGGGATCATATCCATGAGAAGGTTCTCAAGGCGGGTGGGAGGGGTCTGTGGTGTGCCCCCCGGCCTGTGCAGCCCCCACAACCCTGCTCCCCTCCTCCACGCCTGGAGTCTCATCCCATTGCGCTTTGCATCGCAGCTCGTGCAGGAGGCTGAGGATGCTGGGCATGGCTGCATGTCTCCTCCACATCGAGGACCATTTGCTCTTTCTCTTTCAGCAGCAGCAGCTGCAGCACCTCTCCCACCACGCATCCCCCATCCCGCTGACACCCCACCCCTCCAGCATGCAGCCTTCCAGCCTGAGTGGGGGCAGCACCTCGGGGCTCCTGGCCCTCTCGGGGGCACTGATGGCACAGTCTCAGCTGGCTGTCAAGGAGGACAGAGTGGCCCAGGATGGGGAGCACAGAGGTAAGGGGATGATGCACAGCTGGATTAACCCTTCAGAGGCTGATTGAATCAGGGGTCCCAGAGGGGCAGCACTGGGAGGGATCCTGCTGCCCACTCTGCCTGTTTCCCAGGGCCCCTCAATCCTGGCAGCTGCTCCCTTGGGCCAAGGGGAGTGGCAAGCACTTTGAATGACAGATCCAGCTAATCAAATACCTGCAGCCCCAAGGGCTGGCTCTATTTCTGACCCATGGAAGAGCTGCTGTGGAGTGATGGCACTGGGGAGGCAGCTGTGTGTGCCCCCAGATGCTGGCTGCTGGGTTCTGGCCCCCTATGTGTGCACACATGGGTCTTCCTGCTCCCCATGTATGCCCAGCTTGTGAGGGTCCCCCCTTCACAGAGCATCTGGGAGGGGACAAGATCCCTGCCACAGAGAAACCTTCTGTTTGCAGCAGGGTTTTCACCAGGTAAAGATCTGATGTCTGAAGCTGAGGCTTTAAAGGAAAGTAGTGTTACAAGTCCCTGGTAGAAACTCTGGGAGCAGTGGGTCTGTGGCAAGGAATTGAGAAAGTAGAGTCTTACTGTGTGTGTGTGATGCCTTGTAAACAGCAGTAATTCCTCATCCTTATGGATGCCTCCTCCTATCAGGATCACAAAGTGCTTTACAAACATCATCAATATTTAATCATCATTAAATCAGTGCTCTGAATGCTACTAGCAGGCTTGAGCCAAATTAATAACAGCAACCAGCTTTCTTGGTGGCTTGTTGCTATTGTGGTGCTACACCAAGGAGAAGCTGCTCTGAGCTCAAGTCACTTTCTGCAGAGGAAAGGCAAGGGGTGTTTGCTGGCAGGATGATGGAGACACAGGCAGAGGGCTCTGGGCAGCTCAGTGGGCAAGGAACAGGCAGCAAGAGCCAGCAGCCCGAGTGATGCTTCTCTGCAAACTCCTCTGGGGATGGTGCAGGCTCCTCTTGACCACCCCAATTCTGGGCCTGGAAATGCTGCTGGGACAGGACCCAGAAGTAACAATGGAGGGGTCTGTTGCATTTTCCTAATAATCTGATTTTGCTTGTAAGATTTCAAGGTGGTGAAAAGTGCAGCAGGAAATTGTCCATGTTTGCTTTGTGGCCCTGTATGCAGGTGTCTGTGGTTTTGGTTCTGTCAGTGTTTCTTTAAGGATGGCCTTCCCCCAAGGAGAAAAGCAAACTCCAGAAAGAGGATAAGAGCAGGCTGTGCTGTTCCTGCCTTAACCCTTAGGGGCCCGGGTGCTTCTGGCAGATCCAGCCATGCACATCCCAGAGCTGCTCCTTGGCAGGGACATCCAGCCATGGCAGCAGGCACAAAGGCACCCAGAATAATTCCTAAAAAAAACAACAACAACAAAAAACAAACCAGTGAAATGCTACATATGGCTTGGGTTAATCCCTGGTACTCTGCCATGGTTAGCTGGAGCTGGTGTGGATCAGGCTGAGCCAGGGCTGAAGTGCTGATGGCAGGCACCCGGTCCCTCTCCCTCCCCTTTCCCTGCCTTCCTGCTG